ATATTTTTCTGCATTTATATTTAATCAGGAAACATGTAACAATGTGGTACCAACCATCATGGTACAACTCAGTATAGTATGTATAGACTGCCAATGGTCAACCAGCATAGGCACTGTAACTGAGACTTCATTTCTTGATTGCCACAACAAAAGGTTTCAACATAATTGGCCTAAAGATAAATTAAATATAAGCATACTTATTTATTTTAAGTTTTTAACATTCATTTAAATACCTGAATGACATGTGAAACATTTGGTATGTCAAGACCACGAGACGCAGCATCAGTGCAGACAAATATACCACCATTTTTGCGGAAATGGTTCAAATTACTTGTTCGTTCCTCCAAAGAGCCTTCCCGGTGGTACAAAATGCATTCAAGACCAACTCTTTCCAATATCTTTGCCACTGATTGAACAGCATCAACAGTATTAGCAAAGACCATGGTTCTACTTGCATCGACATGGGAATCTGGAGCTTTACATCTATAACCATAGTTCACTGCATCTAGAAGAGCATCAACTTGTGAATCAGGTGTTACTTCTATCCATCTCTGCTCCAACCTGAAAAACAATCACAAAAAATATAGCAAAAGCATTATTATAGAATTACAAGTGAGCATCCTACAAAAAGTTGATTGCAAAATTCACCTTGCATAAATTAATTGGGATACAGTGTTGAGGGCTGTGAACCCTGCAGAGTTCTTTTCCCTCAGAAGTTACTTGCATCTGAACACTATGTCATTCTTAAATAGCAACAGTGCAACATTTATGACTGCTAAGAGTTTCATAAGGTAGCTACTAGCCCAATCAATTCCATGAAAGATACTTAATTACTGGTTCCAGGACCATTCTGCCCGGTGGCTGCCTCCATCATGTGGCCGGCAAAGATGTATTGGCTTATATCCGCCGACCAGTTGATGTAAAGGATGTGTTGCTGTACCAGGCCAGTGGACAGCATAATCCAGTTGTATGTACAAATCACATATATAATACTGTTTGTGGGCTAGATCTAGTCATTGCTCTTCATTGGATGTCAATATGTACTGGTATTCCAGTTAGCAAAACAACCTTAAAAACCAACTGATAGGTACCTATCAAAGCACAAATTTCTCCCAGGATTTACGAAAAATCAGAACATGGTCTATTTGAAGTCTTAAGACTTCTAAAACAGTTAAAGAAGAAGCTTTGTCTACAGACTGTAAGGGCATAACAACAACAATTAATAAAACAAGAAGAAGATGCAGACCTAGGATTGTGCCGGTGGAGGAAACTTCCACTGACACAAATGGCATCAGGAAACATTTGTTTCAGCACTCCACCAGCAGTTCTCTTGCCACTACTAGGAAGTGTGGCAGCAACAAAAACATACTGCTTGCTGCGTGTATAAATTTTCCTAACCCTCTTCCAGTCCTTCACACTGGTGTTCAACTCTTCTGACTCACTTTCCAAACCTTCGTCATCATTGCAGTTGTCACCGTCTTCCTCATCATTATTAAGAAGCTGCTTATAGTTGTCATCATCAGATTTTAATTCCATATTACACTTGTTGTCTTCATCAATCACAGACTCTTTTGCAGAATCTTGCATCTTGGACACTAGTTTTTCTTCAAAACGTAACATGTTAATGAGACGGATAACTTGGTTTTGAAAACTTCCACAAAGAAGCATATCTGCTTCATCAAACACCTATATTTGACAAGGATAGGCATATTAAATTTTACCTAGAAAAATGAAACTTTTATATTTTAAGCTATTACAAATAATGACGGTAAAAAAAACACAGGTACATGATATTGTATGACATAAAATTACTCTGGAAACCTAGTGTCATTTAATATAAAATTACACAGGTATATCAGTAAAAAAAACCAATTAAAACATTTAATATAAGCAATGAATCGATATTGCCATCATGTCATGAACATTCATTTACTAAAAGCATAAGACATAAAAACGAACATAACCAGTTTCCAGTTTCCTTTTTTTTAACAAAAAGCAAATTGTCACGAAAGAAATTAACCTAGCAAAAAAACAACCTTCACTTCTAGCTCATCAAAATAAGTTTCAGAGAGATGAATGTACCACAGATTTGATATTCTGTAAGAAATTAGAAAAACGAACATAACCAGTTTCCAGTTTCCTTTTTTTTAACAAAAAGCAAATTGTCACGAAAGAAATTAACCTAGCAAAAAAACAACCTTCACTTCTAGCTCATCAAAATAAGTTTCAGAGAGATGAATGTACCACAGATTTGATATTCTGTAAGAAATTAGCACGCCGTTTTTTCTCAGGGTCAAATTCAAACAAGTAATTTAAAAGAGCAACTGGAGTGGAGACAAGAATATCTGGGTGAGCAACTGGCCATCCCTGCATTCAAAATTTGGGAACTGTCAAAATTAAAAGAGCAATACAAGATGTTTCAACATTCAAAGACATATCACATAAAAATCTGAGTTAGCTATCATGTGGAACTGTTCAAGTCAGAGTCAAACAGGTAATTTAAAAGAACAACTGGATTGGAAAAAAAAAAAACTGGCTGAGCAACTGGCCATTCCTGCAGTTACCATTTGAGAACTGCCAAAATTAGAACAACAATGCAAGATCATCATCACTCATAACTCTAAGTCAGCTATGTAAAAGTGTGGAGCAGGTTTTGCAGGACTAGTTGGATTTATGCAACCTGTATGCCGCTTCCACAGAGTTTAAGTTGCTGCTATATTAAGTAGCTTTAGACAAACAAAACAAAAGGCCTAAATTTGTTGATTAAAAATCCATCCAGTGAATAGTAAGAACTAAATTTCAATCTTGTTTAACAGTGAAAATCCACTAGACAGAAGAAGCAACTTGTAGATGAAGATGCACAAATCAAGTGACTATTTTAAAAAGTTATGGGGAACTGCTGAATGGTGATCGATAAATCACTAACTGACATCAGCCAAATAACTTACATAATCAAAACTCAAAAGCAATATAGATGGGAAAAAAAAACACTTACCCTTCGGCCACAAACTGCAGCAACTTTGACGAGTGATTCACCTGAATCATCCAGTAGATTATTAGCCATGTCAGCTACTTGCTCACATAGCATCACATTAGGGCACAGGACCAGATAAGTCTTTTTATGTTTTTCAGGATTTCCTTTAGAAACATCAGTTCCTTTATTGGGATCCAAATTTCTGCATAGCTTCTCAATCAATGGAACCAAGTAGCCATGTGTTTTGCCGCTACCTGTCTCTGCAGCGATGATCACATCTTTCCCTGTAAGAATATGAGGAATACAAGCAGCCTGAAATGAAAACCATATATGAACTTCAATATACACACCCAGTGGAATAAATCTTTTCACTACAAATCATACTAAATATGGAAATATGTAAGGTGCAGTAATGCAATTTGAATAATTAACTTGAGCACCACAAGTGGAGTGGCATTTTCAGATATGTGACCACAATAATGTATACTTCAATCTAGCATAGAAAGAAAGAAGAGAAGAAAAGGAAGGGATAAAACAGAGTTGCATGCATTTGCAAAATTGAGGAACAAAAGAAATCCTTCAGCAGAAAACGATATTAATTAACATCTATACTTTCTTGATGTTTGAAGACATTTAAAGCCTTCTACAATTGTATTTCTAGATAGCTGCTGTATAACGAGGATTATTTGCACCAAAAGAAAGGCACAAACTCTCCCAACTTAGTGTCTCTCTGCAAAACAGAACATTGTCTGCAAAACTCTCCCAATCAGTGATTTTTCACAAAAAAGGTAGAATTGCATTGACGTTTTGTATGCTAAAAATGCAGCTAAATTGCTTATTGCTCGATATCTGGTGTATAACTAGGATTATTTGCTCCAAAAGGAAGGCACAACCTCCCTCGACTTGGTAATTCTCTCTGCAAAGAAAAACATAGTTTGAAGCCAATCCAGTCAGCAATTTTTCACACAAAGGTGTTCTATGGACTGGTCATCTAAGAATCCCCACTAAATAGAAGTTCTCTAAGAATCAGAAAGACTGCATTTCTTTCCCCTCTCAGTTCGCTGGAGAGACTGCAAATGCCTCCCACTCAACCTACATCTTTCTTCTTTTCTTAATTCATCGCATAAAAAATAAAATATCTCAACTCCGATCACCCAGGTATATCAAGATTCTGCGTCCAAGACACAACAGAAGGCAAAGTATCTTAGACAAATATCAGGTCCAACAGTATCTGTTTTTCTCAGGTCGATCCTGATCCTTCCTAACCTAATGCGATCTCTTCTACGCATTTATTCAAACATATAGATACTATACCGTTGCTACTCAAACTATAGATAGAGAAAACACGGGACGGCGGGAACCTGGACGAGGGAGGGCCTGAGCAGCGAGGCCTTGGCGAGAACATGGCTGAGGTGGTCGGAGATCCCCAGGGACTTCCAAGAGACACCCTCTCCCGCGAAGAAGTAGCTGCCGTTGCCGTCACCGTCGCCGTCGCCGCCGCCACCACTCCATTCCGCCGCCGGTTCGTCCGCGACCTTCGTGGCGACAGAGTAAGTCCTGGTCCTTCCGAGGGGCTTTAGCCGTGGCCACGGCGCGGAGATTGAGGCGCGAGGCGAGGACTGCGATGGCCTGGGCGCAAGGAAGAGGAGGCAGAGAGGGTGGCGAGACGACAGCGCGGCACGGAAGCAGTGGAGAAGAGGAGGTTGACGAACAGGATGCATCGTTGCGTTCGCCGGTGACTCTTCGTCTACGCAGGATGAGAGCACCCCATGGCGCACGCAGGCTCGTCAAGAACGCAGAGTTTAGAGATTACACCTCACGAAACCCTACCCTTATCGGATCTAAAACAAGGATCCATAAAGCAGCAAGCAACGAGATCCACACTTTTCGGATCCTCGCACTCCTACCATCCGCTCTGTGTCTAAGGATTGCAATGGGCCCAAATGTGGGACCGAGATTTCACCCAGTAAAATAAAAGGTACCGATGGAATAGTATCGAAAGTATATTTGACGCCGAACACAAATCTTATGATGCCCGCAAGCGCGTCTCGTAACCTCCTTCCTCCACTGTTCGTCGATCGCCTGTTTCGTCTCCCGGAGATTGCGATCCTCTTCGCGAGCCTGCGGTCGGGCTCTCAGGTTTTTTTCCTCCCTACCTCTAATAGTGTCCTCGAATCGTTCCATACTCCGATTTCATCATCTTTCATCTCTTCTTTTTGTGGTTACTGATGCCAGAAGAAGCATCACCGTCGAGCTCGCGAGAAGGCGGTGGCTGTCCCCTCTCTCTCTCTGACTGCTCTCATCACGATTTTTTTAAATTATGAATAAATGAGAGATGAATTAAGGTTTGCTTGTTGATTTTAGGGAAAAGGAACCATTTTTGCGGCTAATGGTATGATTTTTTAGCTCTGCAACTAATTTTGTCGTCGGCCAATTGATGTTGCTGTTCTGATCGTTCTTCGGTTCTTGTATCCTCCTTCGGCTATTAGTTTTTAGCGCCTCTTTAATTCATGATTACCCTGGATCCAGAATCTTCGCAATTCCTTCATTCATTCACCGTAGAAATATAGTCCTGTTCCTGGGTAACTGAAAACGTTGAGGGCAGGTGTTTTGAGTAACGGGTAGATGGGATTTGCTCATTTTCTCTTCACTACAAGAATTTGATGTGGTGATTGTTCATGTTGGCATCAAAAGTGGTAATATCCAAGATTGTTGTGCTCATATCAACCAGTTATGATCTATGAATGAATGCTACGAATTCGTTTCCTTTTTTCTTATATGATATATTGATATGCTGCAGTGCAGATGGAAGATATGGATTGGTGGTTGTGCTTCTTTTGAGTTTGGAAATGCTCATCCTTTCGTTGAAATCATTCTCTTGTTTTGAAGGAGACAACTAGGACTATCTTACTTTGTGCTAAATTGGCTGTCCTGACATGCTTTTAAACAAAGAGATTAACAAAAAAATTTCTTTAAATAGCTTATGAGACACACAAATATGGACTCGAACCTGAAACTTATCACTTGTGCAACAATACACTAACGAGTAAGATGTTTCTACTAATATGCTCACATGAAGCTTGCTAAAGGCATATTGCTTGATTTTTTGAATGAGGTTTTTTACTGCTTCCACAAGGACTTAAAGTTTCATTTACTCAAAGGTGATGAGCTTCCATCAGGGGTACTATCTTATGAGAGTATATGTCATTGGTAACAAGCATTTCTGGTGGTTGACTGATCAAGAATCAGTCAACATTAGTTTTTATCCATTTATTTGCATCTCTGCTTGATGGTAATGGCAGGGCACATCATTTTTACTTAGTCATTTGTGTCAGCACACTGGTCAGCCTTTCACCACAATGGTAATAGAGTATATGATATAGCTAATAAGAATGTGGTTGACCGATCAGGATTATGCCAACATGATATTTTCACCCATTTTTAATATTTATGGTAGTATCTGGGCATATTATTTTTATTTAGTCATGAGTTTTGGTAGAGTGATTAGCCTTTCACCTTTTTCTTCCTCAGGAAAATCCAGAAGAAGTAGATCAGCTTTTGCACAACACTTGGTTCGAAATGCATGCAGCAGTGTGGTCAGGTTGGCATTCACCAAAATCTCAGAAACACTTCTGCAAGCACACAACAGTTAGGATTTGGTTCAGACAGTGCGCAAAATAGTGGCACCTCATTCCTTTCTCTGGCTAAGGGAAGTAAGAGGCTGAGAAGTTATTACCATTTGGAGCCTGTCAAGCGAGATCAAGGCACAGAGCAAGTCAAGCAAGATCGGGGAACAGAAACCATCAAAGAAGAGCATTCTGATAGACCTGATGATGATGATTCCGTTACCTTTATGTTTGACAACATAAAAACAGAGATTGTTTAAATAACAGAAATAGATGGTTCAGATAGTGTGCAAAATAGTGGCACCTCATTCCTTTCTTGTGCCAAGGAAAGTAAGAGGCTGAGAAGTGATTACCATTTGGAGCTTATCAAGTGAGATCAAGGCACAGAGCCTGTAAAGCAAGATCAGGGAGCAGAAACCATCAAGTAAGAGTATTCTGGTAAACCTGATGATGGTTGATTCCATTACCTTTATGTTTGACAACAGACAGGCAGAGAGTGGCAAAATGCAGAAAGAGGTGGGGTTGTCAGCGATGAAGGGGTTGAGAAGTTGGTGAATCTAATGCAACTTGGTAAAACTGAAAAAATAGATTTGTTTGGTCAGATAATGCTTTGTGCAGTTGGAAGTTGCCTGTAAACCTAAATGCTCTGCAGATTTGTAACATTGTTAAGTCGGTGAATAATTTGTGCAGTCGCAATAATATGTAGATCCAGAGGAAAGCTAGGAGTCTTGTTTGGCACTTGGAAGGAACAGGTTGAAGCTGAAATGTCAAAAATTGATGCGAATTCTGTCAGGCAGCCTGTTTCAGGGCCAGTCAAACCAGGTTATTCTTATGTTACTGAAGGAATTAAGAAATAAACGCACTGGATCAACTAGAACATCAGCATGCAAACCTCTGCCTGGTAAACCTGCAACATGAGATTTTACTATGAAGTCAAATTTACCTGCAAAGTTGCTGCTGCTAGTGTGTGTTCAGAGTTGCCTACCATAACAGTTTAGGATGAGAAGAGCAGTGTTCCAAATCAGTCTAAAAAACAAAAGCCAATTTTGTTCTACTGATCAAGGTTATCACAGGTGGAAAAAGCATCACAATTTGCACAAACATGTGAAAAACCATTTGATATGCATGTTGGTGATCATGGAATGTTGCCGCAAACTGATTGTTAGGATTCATAACCCTGGGCTTTGCCAAAGCCCTGTACATAGTGCCAGTGGCTGCTCTTTTGAGGACCCAGTGGTTACAGGCAGTAAGTAGATCATAATGATTATAAATTAGAAGTTGCCATTCTTGATGAAGAAACAACAGAAATGTTGAGGAAACTGGTAAGGTTGCAGACCCTACTAAAACTGCCTGTTCATCTTCTCCAAATGAAAATGGAGTTCCCTTGACTGAATTGAGTACAAGAATTGCTTTTAGTTCTATGCATGTCTTGAACCTTCAGCTGTTGAAGATAATATGGGGTTGAATCTACTTGCTGCTAGATGACTGACTCAAGATCTGGGCCGTAAGTTTACACGATCCGAAGGCCTACATCAAGTCTGACCGATCTGGGTCAATCCCACAAATGGGCTCTAATAGTGGAATGATAAAGTGAAAGTATTAATAAATCTCTGAATATTATTAGGATTCAATACATGAATTGAACAAAAATATATGAAAAAAGCTTCTTTTTTTTTCATCGATCGGCGTCTAATTATACAAAAGTGATTATGGTTGATTGAGGGAAGAAAAAGAAGAACAAATGTTCTTATATTTTCTATTTCCTATTAATCAATACAAGTACTCTTAGAAGCCATCCACAATTTAGTCAACCCAGATATCGCGAGAGTTGATTGATTCACACCAAAAACATACGCCAACGATGTAATAATACACCAACTAATATATATAGTTATAGTTATATATATATGTAGATGGATGGATATATCATGGCGTGTACAACTTGGAAAGAGCCCTCAAGAGCTGCACCTGCAACCTCAGCCGGAGGATGTAGTCGGCCGTGTGCAGGAGAAGCTGCTCGGCGGGCAGCTGCCTCCCGCCGGGCACAAGCCGACGCAGCTCCCTCACCTTCCGCCGCAGCGAACCGCCTACGGCGAACCTCCCTTTCCCTCGATGGCTGAGGCGAGGCCCGCCGCAGCTCGTCGCTCCACCGAGTTTAGGGAGCTCGTCGCGGCTCCCTCTGGCCGCCTCTTGCCGTCGCCGCCCGTCCATCTCAGGTAGCTGGTGGCGAGCACTGCGATCTGGGGGAGTTTATAGAGGAAGAGATAGGGATGTGTGTAGGAGAGAGAGAAGAGGCAGAAAGAGAGAGTCCGAATGGACGAAAATTCTAAGCATGGGAGACTCTTGTCGCCTAGCCGGAATGGGCCCCGCGACGAAGGACACCACGTCACATCATGTGCACGTGTGTGACAGCTCCAACACGTCTAGGACAGCGTGTGAGATGTTACCATACACGGGGGGAAAGAGAGAGCGAGAGAGAGAGAGAGAGAGAGTTCAGTCCGGTGCATGCACAACAACGTGAGTCCTCGTAGTCCTCGAAGGCTCGCTCGCACGTGGGGACCCGTACTCACGGCCGTAGGATCTCCAATGGACCGCCACTCCGCGTTAATGGGTTTGCACGAAAATTGACGGTACACGGCGCTGGAGTCCAGCGGACCGCCCTTAAAAGCTTGCCTGCATGCATGCATGCATGTCTTCTTTGACGTTCCGGTTGTAAGCAGCTGTCATACCTAACGCCTCCATTATTAGCCTGCAACAGAGGGGATGGGATTCATGATCTTTATGACTGCAGCAAGCCGTCCGAACCCTTGCAACTCCACGTATTTATGTTTGCAGTAAAAGAACACAATACTAAAGTCACAGTGTGACTGACGATAGATATTGATTCTACATAGTTTGACAACATGTTCTGTTGCTAAATAATGCTTGCTACAATGCAGACTATATCGGAAGAGTTGAAAGATTGTGATGGCAATCATTTATATGTATATATAAATGTAGAAATATATTGAGCAGGTGGAAGCATAATGGTGCACACGTGTCTCCACATGTTGTGGGGTCTATACGACATGTAGGTGGGAGCCACTCATTCAAGGGGAGGGGGAGCATCAATTATATCTTGGCCTACAGCTGCAGATACATATCCTGCATGTTCATGTTTAAGCTGCAACTGGCAAATGAGAGCATGGATCACAAGTTCATCATTGTTTTGTGGTTCTCCAACCAGCTTATCTTACTCTCCTCCTCCTCCTCATCATCTAATCCTGCTTCAGATTCTTTAATGAACATTAAATTAAACACTAATTCTTGCTGCCAGTGAAGAATTTTGCTCCTACATTTAGACTTCTCGTTTGACAAAGCTGATTTCAGTTTGACTCCAAACATTCTTTCGCATTGGGTTTAGTTGGCAAGAATTTCTTGCTCTCTCTCTCTCTCTCTCTCTCTCTCTCTCTCTCTCCTCGTTTAGTCTCTGGTAGAAATGTTGACGATGCATAAAGATCCTAACAGTGCTTAGACTGAGTTCTCAAACCTGAGAAACTATCAGAAGGACATCCAGACAGCAGATGAGTGCAAACTGGGCGATTGCTGCAGTGGCGAACTGTATTGGAATGAGATACTTGAGGACGCAAAGAGCCAAATGGGCATGAATCAACAGTACTCTACACCCTTGGTTTCCTAGGTTTCTTTGGGAAGAAGGCAGCCTGAGAGAGAGAGAGAGAGAGAGAGAGAGAGAGAGAGAGAGAGAGAGAGGTGGGTGGGCACAGTGAGCTGTGTGCATGTGGGAGGTGGGGTTTCGGAGTTAGCATGGCCCCCTTCTCCCTCTTATCAGTATCAGAAACGGGATGGGTCTCATGGAGAGAGAGAGAATTCATGTGCTTCCATGTGCGCCCCGTCCCGTTCTAACCCTCGACAACAGCTAAGCAAGAAAAAGCCAAGTCCATCACTGCTCTCTCCCTCTCCCTCTCTGCGATGGACCGTGCTTTGCCATGGACAACCAGCAGCTCTCTCCTCTCTCTAGTTCATTCACTCTCCCATACACCATCTTCTCGACAAAGTTGGCCATGTCTCCTTCCCTCTAATGGGCCCTAAAACAGCTACCACTTCGGTGCTACGCAAGCTAAACTCCAACATCAATCAGCTACGTGCTAAGCTTTGATGATTACTTTCGTTTTCTACAATCCAAATTACATCATCCTGAGAGCCCTACTCTTCTTCTTATTCTTCACCTTTATCAACCATGGATTGGCAGATATGTGATAATATCAAGGCACGTGCAATGTTAGAGAGTTCATAGGCACGACTTTATTGGATTGCTAGTGAGATGGTCGACTTCTCCCATCAAACGTCACATCATTTTTTGCATGCACGACGACTTGGCATTATTGACATGGTTGCTATAGCTTTTGTCCCCTTCAACGTTGCCCGTCCATTAACCCTCGACTACGAGCTATAAAGCTTGGGTTCTCTCGGTCAGCAGACGTTGTCAATGTTAGCTCTCTCTTTCCCTCTACAACACTCGATTTAGGTGAGGCATATTTCTTTCATTTATCGTCTATTATAATAATAATAATAATTATTATTATTTTCGGAGTCGAAAGGATTAAAGTCTGTACATATAGGTTGAAATCTAACACTAAAACATGCTTACTGAATCCATCTCTCAACTCATGGTATGTTAAGTCATGTCATGGCCTTATGAAGAGTTCTTTGTGGGGATAACATCTAACATTTCTTGTATGTTACTTTGAAAAATCTAATAGGAAGCATCTCTTATTCTTGGTTCTAATTTGCCCTAGTAATGATACCAGCATTTTGGTCTCCCATTAGGATTAAGGTTTGTATGAGAAAGAGAGAGAGAGAGAGAGGGCAATGGTAACATAGTTCTCCCAGGCCCATATGATGGAAATGGGCCTTATAATGGGCTTTGAGAGAGCCATAGTGCATGGGAATATGGATTGACTGAGGATTAGTCATGGTTTGTTTTTGTTTTTTATGATGTTGCTAAACCAAAATATAAATGCAACAACATGATTACATATTATTTAGGGTTTCATACAGACCAAAAAAGAATAGGTCAAATGATTTTAAATGACTTTTTCTACATAATTTTGCAGGTAAAAGATTATTCCTTTATTTTATCCACTACTTAACAACTTGGTTATTGTTAGATAATAGTAAACATAAACAGTTTTCTTAAGGTGTTGTAGAAACCAAAAACATGTTTTCTCCACAAGCAAGAAATCTACAGTAACAAGCTACTGTTTCAGATGGAAATTGAGTTATATTTTCTGTGTGCAATGCACCTAAAGAAGCTGTCGAAAACACACGTCAATCCCCACAGCCGACCTCTTCACATCCACCACTACTGGAGCTGTCCTGAAAAGAACGAGAACATGTTTGCACCCTCTCCTGTTGCCATCTGTATCCTCTTGCTGTGTGTGTTGTGATCAGAGTGAGCTTGGTTGCCATCTGTTGTAGGTGGCAATTCCATTGATGTCAAAGATATGCTATATCTAAGTCCTAGATTCTTCCTCACCTGCTAGGGTTCTCTGTCCTGAGAGCCAAGAATTATAGTTCCTGCAATGAGTAGCGTTTGGTGGTCAAGTAACGTAGGAGATGGTTGCCATGCAGTGGCAGTCGCCCAGAGCTCCTCGTCTTCGCTCTCGGAGCAGTCATGGAGGTGGTGCCTCCCCTCACCACTCATCTCCTCAACAAATTTCAGAGTGACTCCGTTCCATCAGAGTCTTCTCCGAGCAGCAGGATGAGCCCTGCAGTCCTCTTCATCGTTGTCGTCCTCGCGGTCCTACTCTTCATCTCCGGTCTCTTGCACTTTATCCTCAGATGCTTCATCAGGAAGCGCCACCCTCGCCCCTCCTCATCCCGCTCCGCCCCGGAGCTGTCGGGCTCCGACGCGCTCCAGCGCCAGCTCCAGCAGCTGTTCCATCTCCACGACTCCGGCGTGGACCAGGCCCTCATCGACGCCCTGCCCGTCTTCCTGTACAAGGACGTGGTCGGCTCCAAGGAGCCGCTCGAGTGCGCCGTCTGCTTGTGCGAGTTCGACGGGGAGGACGAGCTCCGGCTGCTGCCCGTCTGCGGTCATGCCTTCCACCTCAGCTGCATCGACACGTGGCTGCTCTCCAACTCCACCTGTCCGCTCTGCCGGGGGTCGCTCTTCCTACAGGGCATGGCGGTCGAGGACCCGGTGTTCTTCTATCTCGGGGACTCGACTGACGAGGGAGAAGCTTCCCCTGCGGAGAGAGCGGCGGCGGTGGCGGCGGCGGACGAAGGGGACGAGATTGCGGCCGACAGGAGGAGAGTGTTCCATGTGAGGCTTGGCAAGTTCAGGAACCTGGGTAATGGAAACGTTGGTGGTGACTGTAATGAGGACAGTAGCATCGCCATTGGCAGTGTGAGAAGAGAGGAAGGGGAGACCAGCAGCAGTAGCTTGACTGCAAGGAGGTGCTTCTCCATGGGCTCTTATCAGTATGTGGTTGCTGATGCCCAATTGCAAGTGGCTCTCAAGGGCTGTTCTGCTCTGAGGAATGGAGATGGAAGAGGAATCAGAGGAACTGATGCAAGAGGTAATTCTCCAGGAAATGAGGCTGTGGAGGGCGAAAGACTAAGTATTGAAAGCAGGCACGAAAGCTTCTCAGTGTCAAAAGTCTGGCTATGGTCTAATAAGAAGGGGAAGGTCTCCATGTCTTCAGATACTTCTGCTTTGGATACAAACTCGCCATGGAAGACAGTAAGAGTTGGTGATGCTTGAAAATTTTCTATAACATTACAAGGATTATTCCCATTTTACCACAATTTGGTCTTCTGAAGTCAAAAGGAAGAGTTTTCTGTTGATGGTTGATGAACAAAAGATATTAGTGGGATCAGATAATGTTCAACACTTGTGGTTCTTGTGGTGTTCAATTCTTGGAAGGACCTGTCGTTAGATCATTGATCCAGACTGTCGTCTGTGGAGAATGTATGCATCCTTCTCCTTGAAATATCCACTAAGCTTATGATTTTTTTAGGTTCCAAAGAATGAACTTTGAATTCTTTTTTGAAGTTGCATTTTATTTTGTTCATTCCAAAAAATAAGCAGAGATTATAAAGTCTAGATAAGATTCTGCCAAGTATATCAAAACCATGTTCTCGCGATTGGATTAATATAGACAATTAGGTTAGTTGCATTACTTGCAACAACACAGTGTACAAACATGAAAACTATTATATTTTGTGATGTTTCTCTTCCATAGAATGAGAATCCATAAAAGCTTGTTAGTGACTTCCTGTCACAAGACACAGTTCGAGTTTGGACAATATTGGGGCGGTTGTATCGTCGGTCATATAGTTTCAATTCGATCCTCCTCTGTTAAAGCACTAAAGTAGACCATTTTTTTTCAAAGGATCTCTGCAATGTGGTAAGGATCAAATACATCTATTTGAGCTGGAAATGAAATGGTTAGTACAAGCTATTCTAGTATTAGTAGATTTATTATTGAATAAATTGCTTGTGGTCTGTAGCATGGTCTCTGCTTTCTCTTGTTTTCTGCTTCATCTTTTTGAGAAAATTCTTTCGGTAGCAGACAAAAACATGTCGGACAAAGGCATTTTCTGTAATCTTCTGTGGTTAATGGAAGACTTTGAAGCTTAATATATTGTAGCATGACTAGAAGCTTGACTTATATATGAAATTATATGGAAATTGAACTTCTCTGTTACTTCTGTTTTTTATTGTCTGGAGAGTAAGTCATATTGGAAAAAGAAAAGAAATGCAATCATCCTTGTAGTCTCAAGAATCTTTTTTGCACTGGTTTTGACGATAGCTCATAGTTGAACCTCCATGAGAAATCGTAATGAACAAAAAGGAATATGGAGTTTGCTTATCAAACTCCATATTTGAAGCTTCAATAGATTGTATCGATTGAAGATAGTAAGTCATTCTCATCTGTGATTTCATTGGCACGACCCGACATACTGTATGAAATACAATATCTGTTAACTTGAAATTGTGAACCAAATGATGGAGCTTGTGGATGTCAGTTGGTCAGTCAAAATGATCAAACTACATAGAAAAGGGCTTTATTAACACCCTTATGTCTATAGTTATAATATTTCAATAGGAGGAGATAGAATGAGTTATATAAAGAATTAAAGAATGGAGAACATGAGTAGGAAGGACTAGAGAGATCAAGAAATTAGAGATCCATGCACCAATACAGGACTTATTTATCATGCTTAGATGCAACTTTATATATCTTCTATGTGACTAGTCTATAATGTATGCTTCAGCTTGCGGAAAATTCGGATAAATGACTAAAGCAGATTGGAGGACCAGCACACATAGTTCTGGTAATAAGACTCATAGAAGATAGACTTTGAACACATGTACTTGAACCACTCACATTTGCCACTTCAGGAAGCTGTAGGATTGAAAGTAACTGGTGCTATTTTGGCTTTATGCTACCATTTCTGAGAGGTCTTTGCTACTTGAGTTTGAATTCTTTTTCTCTTTTCTCAGTTTGATCCTATCCTTTTTTGTTAAAGCTACTTTGCTCTCTTTAAAGAATCTTCAACTTTCCTTACCATGAACTAGAGAAAAAAGAGAGGACAAATAGAAAATTATGGATAGTTCCAAGATGACTGAGTGATTCTCTTCCATGGAAAGGAGATCTAGGAATAGCAAGTTTGAGAAGCCATCTTGGAATCACTAAACCTTCAATCACTTGTTGCACACATGCAGAAATATGTAGAAAGAATGAAACTTGTTCACCTATCGGCTTAATTTTAATCTGTAGATCACCGGTGTGAACAACCTTCTTAAGATGTCTTATGAGCATAATATTATATGGTGAGCTTTGACATTATGATAACTTTGCTCCTCTGCAACCTGAATGATCAACAGTTAAGTCATGACATTAACATGCTTTAATTGCTTGGATGAGATTGTCTGCATTGATTCCCCAAATGCCATAGGGTGCACTTTTTCTTTGGAATTGCTGATACACATGTGAAGCTGAAGTTAGATTGGCCTCAGAACTATAATGTATTGGGCTGTATATGAATAATGTAGTGTAATCAAGATGAAACTGTCACTTAGGACTTGTGAGGCATTTTTTTGAGATCAAAGTAGCTATTTTAAGGAGAGTAGCAGATTTATTATCTGGTCTTCTTTTCTTTGCTCCATTCTTGAAATGCTTATTCTCACAATGTTGCAGCATTTGCTTTCCTTGTAATGAGCTGAAAGCTCTGTGTCTCTCGTCAAAGTCGCTGCCAGTTCCAGAAATGAGATCTTGAGTTAAGCTACTGTTTATCGATGTTTCTGTTAAAAATTCTTTGACAGTCTTTCTAAAGCTAAATAGTATGATTTCTCTAAACCCAGTGGCTTATGTTGTTATGATCTTTTGTCGATCAAGAGCTGTTTCATTGTATAATCTCAGGTCAGCCACCAACTGCTGAACTGGCTTCCATCTGCTTAGCAGACTGGATTCTTGCTATCCAATATAGATGGAGATGCTGCCAGTGAAGAAGAATGCAGACTCCATAGAAGTAATAGGCCATTGTCTGATCACCACTGTGCACCAAGGAATCAGATAGTAACAAGGACCTGACCATAATGATTTATTTGGTATTTGGCAAACTATTGACATACAGTTCCTAAAGAGGGGCTACTTGTGCTTAGAACTGTACAGATAACAATCCATCCCACTCTGGTTTTTACTGATGATGAGGCTGCCCAATAAACAGAAGGGCCATTTGTTATCCTCTGACCTTTCATCTTATGGGGAAAAAGTTCACAACTGTGTCTCTTCCATTTGATGACAGCAGAAGATGAGAAGATGGAAGTTTTACTGGTACTGTGGGCAAGGGCACATGTTTTGATGATGCTGCTATGTAGACAGAGGCTTCATTCTTCTACAAGGTTGTGCACATCTCTCTCTTCTACTGCTGTTTAGATTTGAGTCCAGAAAAATTATCAATGGGGTGTTTCTTCTCCTGTACAAGGAAGATCTTATTTGTGTTAGTAACCTCATGGGTCAAGTTTCAATCCTATGACCACTTACTATAAAGTGCTTCTTTTGCAGGCTAATCTACATTGGTGAAAGCCAAAATCTTCTCAAAGATACTGTTTGATCTTTAGGAAAAGCTAAAACTGGTTCTTTAAGAGTGAAACATTCTTGGAACCCTGATCACATGATACCATTTTAACATGGAGGTTTGAACTCAGCATTTCAAAGTCTTGGACAGACCAAATTTTTGCTCACCTAGTCAAAGTGTCTTCATCAGATGGAAAACACAATTCAATTACCAATTAGACCGCACCCAAGACAGCTGAACGAAATAAAAACACAGGATCACAAAGAGCATTGGAACTACAAATTTACAGAACCATTTGGATTTCTCTTACAAAACTAAGGAGGAAGCTTCTTACAAGTTTCAACAAGTCATTCCACAGTTTCTTGGTTCTTCCCCCATTTTATAGACATGTGAAAGAGGAAAGAGACCACATATGAACTGACAGAAAATTTTCCATGGAAGAGAAGGACAAGAAACAATTGCAGTGGCCATCTAGTAGTTGCCATAACCACTGTAACTACTTCGGGTGCGCATGTCATACTGCTCGTAGATTGGATCCCCATAATTCAAAGCTTTGATCTCCACTGACCTCCGCTTGCTATCCGACTCCTGAACTGCTCCAAACACGATCTCATTGGTTGTTTCACAGCTCTGCTCGTAGTAAGTCTGAGGGCCCGACGAGTACTGCCTGTGCTGTCGAAGGTGCTGCCGTTGATGTACCTGTTGCTGCTGCTGCTGCTGTGCTTCTGTGCCCCACCCGGAAAAATAAGGTGGTGCATGTCTGATGTGGTGGATTTTTTCTGGCTCCTTTGACATGAATGCGTAAGTCTTGTGAGGTGTGGGAGCTCTCGTCTCCAGCGGTGGCGGTATCTCATCATCGGGGATGACAAAGCTCTCTGGCACAGGCCAAGCATTCACTCTCTGCTGCTGCTGATATTGTACAGCTTTTGGCTTCTTTCTGAAGACTGGGAACACTGCACCAAAGATTGCTGCTGTTGACGACCATGTTCCTGATAAAAGCTTGCCAATTGAGCTGAAGAGTCCTTCATCTGTGTTCTCTGCTTCATCTCTGGCAGGGATAAGTGGGGGTCTTATAGATGGTTTAACTGGTATCTGATGTGGAGGCATGCTTGCTTTTATAGGGGTTACAGATTCCTGTACAAAATTTTTTCACTTTTGGTAAACAGAAGGTTCTAGAAATGGTTGGATCCAATAAACATTTCATTAGTACCTCAGAAGTTTCTTTTTATTCATCTCATTTCGATTAATTTAATATAATTGCTTTAATTTGCTTTAACATATGTGCATACATATGTATACACATATATACATATTGCAGTTATATCTTAAGTGGGGTGAGAGGGTTTATATCAATTTCCACAAAGCCAGCATTGATATGAATAGATTCAGATTGAACATTTAGAAATGATGGAGAATAATTTGCTATAAGGCCAAGCAAAGACTACTCACAGTTTTGGTAGAGACCATTACTCCCACCCTCCTTTGGAGTAAAGCCAGCATGTAACCAAAGAAACCAGCAGCAAGTAGCACTGCTATTCCTGTATTGGCAGATCCAACAAGCATTAGAACATATTCCAAAAATGTCTGAGGCATATAACAAGAACTTCATGTAATTGACTTTAAGAAATCGGTACTGTTGTATGTTCAACAGAAAGTAGAACCAAAAAAAGTCAAAGTTCATACCAAGAGGGAGACCAGTTTCATATTGGTGTGCACAATCATCAAAGTTAAGATGGATCTCCCTGATTGCAGAGTTTCCCCTGTCTACAACTAGAAGAGAACAGCTACTAGCAATGTAAACGACTTCAAAATCTATCGAAAACTTTGCATCTTCACTTGGCCCATCTGCATGCCCTCCTCTACTCCCCTTTCCCCCAGCAATCGTCGTCGTCGCCCCTACACAAATACATATACCTCAAGCAAAATATTAAGTTGGTGACTCCTCCATAGAGCCTGCTACAAGGACTCATCCATGACAATGGGACCTCTTGATGCAGCTATTTATGGTTGATTCATAAAAATAGGAAACTATAAATATATTCCTGTTCCAATAAAGTGCATCTTTTCTGAAGTAACTAAATAAGCATACAATTTTACCTCAAATGAATTCTAATTTGAGAAGGCTATTTCTGTAACTTGAATTCTAATTTCCTAGCTCATAAAGGAGTGATCTTACCGTTGTACCAAGGTTTGTCCTTGAAAGGAACTATATCAAGAGCACCAAAATTTCAAAAAAGGACTTATCAACTATGTTTTCTATTAAGGGATAATAATCTGACTCCATTTATCAAACAGCTCACTGCGGCATGAAGTCAGAAGTAGTATCATTTATCAATATCAACACATTTCTAGCTTCCAATGTGCAAAATATGTATTGTTTGTGAACAAAAAAATTTCGTAGCAAAATCTGCAATGAGCTATGATGCATCTGTTGATTGGACTTTATGCCTTCTCTCTTACCTGTGTCACTAATTTTCCTGATGGCCATGTTCATTGTGTCCGCGACATATATATTACCCCTTCCGTCGACTGTAAAGCCCTTCGGATGGTTCATTCTCGCTTCGCGTGGTCTTCCATCTACATGACCAACATACCCTTCTGGAGAACCAGCAATAAGCTTAGGTCTGCTATCTGCATTTATCAACATAATGCACGACTATGATCGGCTTACAAACTCGACAGATGGATATGCAATCTGGTAAAAAAACAGAATTTAAGTTCTTTCACCATCTGAAGTTAACTAGATTCTGTAAGCTCTTGGGATGGAACAAAGGTTTCAAGACAAATATTAGCATGAAATTTAAGAAAAAAGTAGCTTTTGTTTTGACACACAATTCCAAAGAATGTTCCAAGAATTAAACACAATGTAAACAAAAAACTGATGCACATTCGAAAAATTCATACAAGAATGCAGACCTAAGAACAAGAGTAGCTAGAATTAGAACAAAAGGTCAGAGTTTCAAGTAGCATGGGTCATTTAATGCGCTAAACAACAAATTAGATACACACAATAACATGCAATTCACTTGAGCATTTTAACAAATACAGAAAGAACAGCCTCAGATAGTTGGATGCATTCACCATCTTACAGTTCACTCAGCATCTCAAGAGAAACACACAAAAAATCTTCCTCATGGCAAAACAATTTCGATCGTTAAGAAAATTGCTGCTCAATATAAGTGCAAAGGACCACTAAGGAACCCTATCAGCCCCCATAAGAAATCAGGCAAAGAGATCAGCTCACATCTAGACAATGGCAACGAGATCCGGTACAAATTACTGTTGACAGAATCCAGAAGCAGCAGCTCCCCACTCTGCGTCACCTCCACCGAGTGGGGCTCGATCCCGAGCTTACTTCCGTCGAACACCGTCTCGACAGTGTACCCGCTCTCAAATTTCATCAGTGGGCGGTGGCCGGAGACGGCTGCAGGAAATGCGGGTGGAATCAGGTCAGCAACATGCTGAGGGAAACAAGAGGAGCCAAGGTCGAATGGAGTATACCAGTCTTTGTGGTAGATTTCAGAGACCACAACCTCTTCAGCAGAGAGGAGGCAGCATTAGAGGCAGCATTGGAGACGGCCACACCAACAATCTCTACTAGACCAAAACAACAAGAGAATGAGCTGGTGATGCAGCATAGAAAGGCCAAGAAAGAGCAGAACACCCACTTGCAGGTGAAGAGGCTGAAGCAGAGCTGCACCCACCCAGCAAGATCAGTACAAGAATGAGCATTACCAACACTCTCATCTCCTTGTTCATCATGCCTCAGCTGTGTTAAAGGTCTACTGATCCAGAGAAGACACAAGAAAGCAAGGCAGATGGACCTCACAGTACAGAATGGGAGCAGCTCAGCTAAAGCCAGTTCTTGTTTGGCTCCTCAAGAAGAAGAAAGAAGAAGAAGAAGAAGAAGAAGCTCATCAAACCCTTCACCTTTTGCTCCCTTTCTTCTTCTTCAAGTTTAATATGTGAGGCAAAGTAAAGCAAAGCAAAGAGAGAGAGAGAGAGAGAGACAAATAGCTATGTGAGTGTGAAGAGAGTGAAGAGCAGTAAAAGAGGCATCACATGCTGCCTCTTTTACTGTTTGCTGTTCAGCATCTAATGAGGCCTTTTAAGCCACACTTAGATTCTTTGAACACCAAAATCAGCAGTCTTCAAGTGGCAATTGCCTCACATTTTTTTGCAGGAAAAAAAAGCCAAAATGAAAGTTGATTCTAAGCCACCATTTTGATCACAATACAATTCTCTCAATCCTTAATTGTAGGGGAGAAAGAATAGTAGTAATATGGAGCTCCACCTTTCTCTCTCTCTCTCTCTCTTTTTCTAGGTCACCATACTGTTCACTGGTTTCAAGGTGATGGGTGTGATGTGGTGTGGGGTTCACACTCAGTGCTATTCTCTCCATTCTTTGCTGCTTGTTTCCCTGTAGACACATTCCTTTCTTCCACCTTCTTTTCCTACCTTTCTTACAACTGCATGTGATTCCTCTTTCCCTCTACACTGTGTGCAGAAAGAAAAATTACACTTAGCAGGCAGGTTTTTACAGCATCCTTTGCTTAACAAAGATATCAATGCTATAAATAAATGCCATATTAATTCTGTGATTTTTGTCTCCCAACTTTTTGGTGGTTCAGATGTGGTGTTGGAGAAATTTGGACTTTTTGGTGGTTCAGATGTTGGTTGTAGGCATGAGGAATGAGGTTGAGGATCCATATTGGATGCACATTATTAGTTGCAAAATCATATATATTCATATCCAATAAATTTATGGATCCAAAGGTATGGAGATAAAATGAAAGGTCTGAGGGTATTTATATTTGGATACAAAAATAAAAATATGTATGGAACTTTAATTCAACTTAAACCAATGTACAAGGATTACATGAACAAAAGAGATGTGCATATGGCACAGTCATTGCACCATCATGAGCTGAGTTGCCATGATCTAAAACATTACAGCTAACATTCCTGTCACTATGGGGCTCACATCCTTGGATCCTTGGGGCATATTCCCTGACAATGTTGTCTCTCAACAAATGGAGTTGAGAAACACTTGAGTGATGCAGCTCTGCATTTTTGTGACTTCAATCTGTAGAACTTGCACAGGTGAGGCTGTCTTCAGCATGCAGCCATGAGAAA